TATTTATAACATAGAGCTATGAAAGTAGTACACTATAATCCAAATCAAGTACCGTACTCTACTTGATTTGCCAAATCAACATAAGCGTCTGAAACAGCGACCTTCGCCGGGAAGGAAGCACATAGGTTAAATGACTCTACTCATCGGCTAAAATCTTAAAGGTTCAAATAGACTTTCGTTTCATCCTCCTGACAAGGGACCTGCATGTTCATGGCGGTTCTTGCTAATTTATTTGCCACGGTCATGACCATCAGCAAGCCACCACAATAGAATACGGTGACCCAGATACAGCTATAACCACCAGACGAGCCAGAGCCGAGCTCGTAGTATGTTGTTCTTGTACTACTAGGACAAATTAGCATTCGTTAAATACCATATACTATCTCCTACAGTAGTATATACAATCAATACAGAGACATCCTTTGGAGGATTTCCTTTCGAGGTCTGACGAAAACGAACAGAGAACCCAATGCAGACTCAACGCAAGGTGCCAAATGCGCCACTCGGTAGCGAACGAGACAGACCGGGCCTTGACCTCCGGCTGGAAGAAAGGACGGTCTCCCCCTCGACGGTGACGACCACGACCACGGTAAACTCCGTTGAGAGGGCAGACTCGCCATTCCACACGGCCGGCTGGACACTCTAAAAACCAGCACAGGTGCGGTGGCTCCCCTCCGTCCGTCTCGTCGAGTTCTCCGAGGAGAGGAGAGGCGAGGCGACATGGGCTCCAGCAGCCTCCAGCAGACCAACGCGCTCTTCAGGAAGAACCTCGTGATCCAGGTGACGCACCCCATGCCATCTCTCTCTCCTCCTCCTCCTCCTCCGTGGAGTAGTTTTGTGTGGAACTCGAATCCCATCGCGCAGAATTATCTTGCCTTCTTCTTGTGCTCTTTGCGTTGCGTGCGCAATTGGCCGTGGGATGGGACTGTGAGGGTGCCATGCACCAAGAATCTGTGACAGAAATGCATCTTTCGTGATCCAGTGTTCGCAGATTTTTTTGGTGAAAAAGGACCCAAATGTTCAGCGTAGCATCAATCCTAATTGTGTTGCAATTAATTCCGCAAACGGAAAAAAAAAACTGTACTCCAGTAAATACATACTGCATCGTTTTGGTTTCAAGATTCAGTTCCGCTGCAATCAGGGAAATCTTGCTTTCAAACCCCAAATCGCCGATTTAGATGATTAACCCTCTTTCACACGTAGCAGTTTCATATTTTGTTTTATAGAGAATTAGTAGAATTTATGCTATGACCGTCGGTTGGAAACTTGGAACTATGGATCATAGAACTACAGTTCTTAAATTTCTATATATGCCAAGAGCCCAACAATTAAAAAGGACACATGCAGAACATTTTTTCTTCTTTAAACCCCTGTACAATTCTACTAGGAATCTACAGTACTGTAAATTGTACTGTAGAATTTTAGGAATCTATAGTACTGTAGAATTCTAGGAGTATAGTACTGTAGAAATCTACAGTTATTAACCCACAAGTTCATTTTTTCTTTAAACCATTTCTTTCTTTAGAAAGTTGTGTTGTAAACTCCTGTAGAATTCTGTGCTACTGCTCCATGACATGTTATTTGTAGTATGTGTTTTTTTGGGGGGAAATTTGTATGTTTATTTTGATTTTGTGAGGATTATCTCGGTGTTTATTCTACCCCTCCTGTGTTTTCTACTCTACTAGTAATTCTTTGGGATAAAAGAAATATTTTCCTCTGATTACTGAATCGAATCGGCAGAGGCGCGCCTGCAAGACCAACTGCTGCCTCATCCTCTTCCCCCTGATCCTCTGCGCGGGCACCGGAGGCCTGCAGATCGCCATCAACCGCGCGGTCAAACGAGACACCACCCCTCTCAACTGCAACTGCAGCAATGCCGTCGTGCCGGCGAACACCACGGGAGGCCCGGCGTGCCCGGAGGGCTGCCCGCAGCCTCGCGCGCCCAAATGGCCACCCGTGGTGCACATCCCGCCGTCGGCCACGAGCCGGTTCGGCGGCGGCCCCCCCCGGCACATCGTGCGGGGCGCAGGGGTCCTGCGCCGCAACGTTCCTCGTCACCGGCGCCAACCAGTCCTTCGTCGGAAGTATGCCGTAACTCTGTTTCTGTTACTAGGTGAGTGGTTTTTTGACATGATTTTTGCTCATCGCAGGTGCAATGGGTAACATGATCCCGGTTCACGACGCATCGGTGAACGTGTCGGCCGACGACATCTCGGCGTTAGCCGATTTCGTGCTGGTAGCTTCCATTTCCTGAGCCATGCGTTCTTAATGATACTTGATGTTCAGGCAATTCCGTGACGTATCGAAAACTTCAGGCGGGCTATTCGGGGTATTCAGGCAGTCCTCTAGTGGACTCCTTTCTTCAGAACAAATGCACTCCAAACCTGACGCTTTCATACTCATTTGTAGACGGCAATGAAACTGGGACCCAAGGTAAAAAATATATCTTCTAGTCGAAGGTCAAACGTTGTACCAGTTACTGAACAATGAACACATGAAGGCTTAGTAGAAAAACTCGCAGCACCAATGGCTTCAGTTATTCTTGATATTAGCAAACTATGATCGGATTACTAGCGTCCTGTCGTGGCATCTGGCAACTTCACCCATTTGCAGTGCATTCTAGTTATTCCTGATGTTTGCTAAAACCATGCATAGATGTGGATTGCACGGAGGGATTAATGCTCTGGCGCGACAGTTCGTGGCTCATCAATGATGACCTATATAGTGGCTACACGAACAGGAGCAATGAATTTGCTGCAGGTGAAATTTTTCCATCTTAGATTGTGTACATGAATCAGTTCTTCTACTCTACTAGTCGCTGACATTAAGTTACACTGTCTGCAGCATACGACTTCTTAAGCTCTGATCAGGGCAACTTCAACTTGATCATTTCATATAACTCAACGTACGAGTTTGATGCTTATGATGGCCTTCCAATCCCTGTCTTCCAATTTTTTGGAGGGAATAAACCTAGACTGCTTGAAGTTCCACGGTTAACAAATATGGTACAATTTTTCTCAATGTAGAGAAGACTAGTACACACTATCTCTTGCGATAACCTTTTTGATTGCTTAATTGTGTATTGCAACCTTTCACTTCTCTACAAATTATTTTAGTGTCATACTAACATACATGCGTTCTTGGTTCTTCATGTCACAGACTCGGTTCATGTACTATTGTCTTCATTGTTAAATTATTTTCGAGACCACTTCACAGAGTTTCATTTTGCAGGCTTCAAATGCATACCTTCGTTTAATAGGCAATGGTCTGAAGATATCATTCGATTTTGTTAAAGAAATGCCTAGAGCAGGTCGATCATGGAGTACATACGATCTAACTTCAATAATAGGACCGCTGCCTTATGTATTGACTATCCAGCTCCTTTTCCCGGTATGGCAGGTCTTTATGAATTTATTTTCAACGTCAGTCGATTTGAATATTTTGGAATGTTGTTTTCTGATAGTTGTACAAGCAAATAAATACGGTAGCACCTTTTAGCTTATAGAAGAATGAATTGATGCTACAGGTAATTTTGACCAACATTGTATACGAGAAGCAAAAGAAGCTTAGGATTATGATGAAGATGCATGGTCTTGGTGATTTGCCATATTGGACTATATCCTATTGCTATTTTATTCTTCTGTCCATGCTATACTTGCTGTCCTTCATGGTATTTGGTACTGTGTTTGGTAAGATAATACTTTTATTACTATGGATGTATTCTTTGTGCAATAAAATATAAGAATTACTTCTCTTTGATAATCTGGGAATTGGTATTGAACCAAGTCTTGTTGTTCTTGGTTAGGTTGATCAATGTGCTAATTTTATTTATAAAGGAATGTCGTCGAACAGTTATAAATTACAAGGACATTTCTGATAGTTTCATCTCTAATTTTCAGGTTTTACATTCTTTCGACTGAATAGTTATGGCGTACAGTTTGTGTTCTACTTTGCTTATATGAGCTTGCAAATTTCATTTGCATTTCTTATGGCAACATGGTTCTCAAATGTGAGAACAGCTGCTGGTATGCTTCCATAAAGAGTATTGCTACATCCAGTGCATCAGATGGTATGAATTTATCTACACTGATTAGTTGACATACCACGCTGCAGTGACAGGATATTTCTACGTGTTTGGGTCCGGCCTTATAGCAGATTATTTTTTCAAGCCCTATATCGAAGACATTTTCATCTCAAGTATGCATGCAAATTTATCTTTGTAGAAGTTCATTATGCAGTTGTCATTATGATTCTAGGGCTTCTTTGATGTAAGCTTTTATTCCATCACTCAAATAATTTGTGTTGCAATTTTATATTTGTTCATTTCAAGGAAGCTGGATTATACTTTTGGAACTTTTCCCTCCATTTTCTTTGTACCGCATTGTCTATGAGTTTTCTCAATCTGCATTGCTCGTAAGTCAGATTGACCGCACAGGGATGCAGTGGAGTGACCTGAATGATCCCAAAATGGAATGGCGAGTGTTTTAACCATAATGATACTCGAATGGATCCTATTCCTTTTATTATCATTCTATCTGGATCACTTTGGTTCCTTTCAAAGTGGAATTAGAAAAGCAGTATTACTTCTTCACTCTCGCCGGGCTGGGAACCGTTCTCAATCTGCTCAACAGCAGACCACACAGATTCAAGAGTTCGAAGCTTCCGTTGAAATGGAGAGAACAGATGTTATCAAAGAGGTGTGCTATCTTTGGTCCTTACAAAAAATAACTCTTGGTTCTCTGATTGATTTTGTTATAAGGTTAACAAAAATATCAACACGAACTAGTAGGACAGTTTGTTAACCTTACAGACACATTGTCGTGTCGATATTTTTTTCTCCTTTTCTACATCGTAACAAACTCCATTGCTGTTAGCCTTATGATCATTGCTGTATACAGTGTTATAACTGCTTAACCTAGAGTGTAATTATATAGGTTGAAATTCTAGTCCTGCTTGAACGTGTCTGTATTTTTTCTTTGCCGAATCGCAATGGCATACTAACGTAGCTTTGCATATTTCCTTACAGAGAGAGATGGTTGGACAGCTCTTACAAGAACCAAATAGTAGTTATTCAGTCATATGTGACAACCTTAAGAAAGTGTACCCTGGAAAAGATGGCAATTCAAAGAAAATTGCTGTCAGAGAGTTGTCCCTTTCAATGGCACGTGGGCAGTGCTTTGGTGTTCTTGGTCCAAATGGTGCTGGAAAAACCACTCTCATCAACATGGTAAGCATGAAGTTTATAGATACCATAATTTACTATAGGGCTACCTTCATCAAAATCTAATTGGGGCAAAGCATAGTCTGATTTATTATATGTCATTATAGATATTGTGCCTCCTAGAAATATGAACTGGACAGATATAGTGAAGCGGATGGAGTAGTACGTAAATCATTCCTAGCACATCCCTTCCAGGAAATATGCCCATTCAAAAGTGCAGCCATACATTTCTTTACAGCAATGAAGAACATGTCTAGGGGTTCATGAACTAGTAGGACTGCACTGAGGAATTTGCTGTCTATCCCAGACGGTACTAAGGACTTCTAACCTGATAACAGCTCACTGGATTTACTAAACCTACGTCTGGCACCGCGTACATCGAAGGAATGGACATAAGGTTGGACATGGACAAAATTTATACAGGAATTGGTGTTTGTCCCCAGCATGAGTATTTTCTTATCTCTCTCACTCAGATTGTTTCGAGTTTGTTCTAGGTTAGTGTAAGACCATGTAGTTTTGAACTTGTGATTGATTGCTTTATCCTCCTTCGAATATTACCATGCAGCTTGCTTTGGGAAAATCTGACTGGCCGAGAGCATTTGATGTTCTACGGCAGGCTCAAGAAACTGAAGGGTGCAAAATTAGCTCAGGTAATGTGTTACAGTATATCTAATATAGTGATATTTTCCATGCATGGATATGATGAACTTGACTTCCGTCACCATTTACCACTTAACATTGAAGCACCATAATGTCATTTCCCTGACCAGCTGATTAAAGCTGAACACATCATTTTCCTATAGGGCTGATATGTTCTGAGCCAACCTGTACACTTGTACAAATTTGCCAATGCAAAATCTAAGATATAAAATCTTTCGTTGGAAAATTTAGAAGTCAGTATATACCTAGGCTCAATATAAAGGTGGAAACCAAAATAACTGATACAGATTTTAGTGCACAGATGCAGCCATGATTTCCAGGCAAGAATTATCATATTCAACTCATGTACTTTTTCCTGGAACTCGATTTATCTTCACATATTGTGCAGAGAACTCGCTGTTTTATCATCACATATTGCCAGTTTTTTTGGATAAAAACCAAATTATCATTCCGTACAGAAAAAACTAATAAAAACCTCACATAAATTCTTTCCAGGCTATCGAACAATCTCTGAAAAGTGTGCGTTTGTTTGACGGTGGTGTTCCCGATAAGCTTGTACAAAAATACAGCGGTGGCATGAAACGTCGTCTCAGCGTCGCCATCTCTCTAATTGGTGACCCTAAGGTACTTGTATTATCAACTGAATTCATTCACGATTCGATAAGCTTCTGAGCGTTCATGCTTGGAGAAATTTGTAGGTTGTTTATATGGATGAACCAAGTTCTGGCTTAGATCCGGCATCAAGGAAAGACCTATGGAAAGCCGTCAAGTCTGCCAAACAGGACAGGGCCATAATTCTCACGAGTACAGTACTTTACCTTCAATTCTCATATAGCAGTATATCAGTTCATCGCTGCATTTTCGTGTGTGTGCATGTTGAGCTTGACATCACATGACCAAAGTTAAAAACATACTTCTATCAATCTCGCAGCACATTCAATGGAAGAAGCTGAAGTTCTGTGCGATCGGATAGGAATAATCGCGGATGGTACCTTGCAGTGCATTGGAAACTCAAGAGAGGTACAATTATCGTACGCCAATAAATTGATCATATCTTCACACATGATCATTGATTTCAGATGCTAACGCAGCCACCCAATCCGCCTTTTCCAGCTGAAAACCAAGTACGGAGGCTCATATGTGCTGACGATAACGACCATGGCGGCTGAGGAGGCGGAGGAGGAGGTGGCAAAGCTAGTCCGGTCCATCTCGCCGGCGGTGAGCAGGGTGTACCGCATCTCTGGGACGCAGAGGTTTGAGATGCCGAAGCAGGAGGTGAGTATATCAGCGGTGTTCCATGTCATGGAGGACGCGAAGAGCAGGATGACCATTCTTGCGTGGGGCCTATCTGATACGACTCTGGAGGATGTGTTCATCAGAGTTGCCAAGGAGAACGAGGCATCCTCTGTCATCTGATTGGCAAGATAATCCGGCCCAGAAGAGTCACTGTTTGTAGTTCATCACAGTTGCAGCTTCAGAGATATCGTTGTGTGGCAAATTGGCAGTGCACGTAGCTTTAAGTTTTCAAATGAGTTTGGACTTTGGACTATGGAAGGTGTAGCTTCAGATTATTAGATATATATGGCAGAAGAACTCAGGGATAAGGAAATGCATTATAAACGACAAGAAATATATTTAAAGTTATGTAACGTGGAAACAAAATCAGAAATTTGACACAGAAAACTTATTTGAGAATCCTAAAAATGTTTTGAAAATGAAATAGTTTATGGACATTCATGAAAAATCAAGAAAGATGGTGATTTTAAGTTTCATGCATGTTTGTAAATATCTGTGAGTTTTCATTAATCCCTTGCTTTTCAGTAAAACTTTTAATGTTCTCATTTTTTTACTTGTTCATTTTAAACATTCCCAAATTTGTTTACTGCCTTTTCTGGATTGCTTGTCAATTATTATTATTATTATTATTATTATTATTATTATTATTATTATTATTATCTGATTTTAACTAGTTTTGTTTTTTCTAATTATCATAATGCGGCACTTCTTTTCAGATGTTTCATTTATTTTTTATGAATCTTTAGATTATTGAGAATAATTTGTTCTACATTTTCTTGTTCAATGATTTTTTGGTCTTTTTTGTGGTTGGCGTAGGTTGCCCTTTGTGCAAAGCCATTACCATGCATTGTTTTTGAAAGATCCAACGTTCGCTGGCTTATCATTGATTTAGCAAAGAGCATATGGGAAGCAGGGTTCAATCAAGTGATCAATAATGAGTTATGAAATGTGAATGTGCCGACGCGTTATATTAATTTGTATAAATCTCTTCCGAAAAACAGAATAGCATTTATTGCACTGCGCAAAAAAAAACATCACTATTTTTTGGAGCACGAGCTATATGTTACAGGTTCTAAGAAAAGACCCTTCACATAATTTTGTAAAATAAGTGACGATTCCTGCAGTATCGCCGATTATAGATGGTTGCTAAGGTAAGTGACAGGCTTGTTTGAAGCATTCGACCATAGTTGATGCACTAAGCATAACTGACACACACTCATGTCCTATATTTCATTAGACAACTCACAGTGGGAGTAATATAGATAGTAACATCACACATCTCTAAACAAAACATATGATGTGTAAGTACGCAAACTAATTGGAATAGCTAATGTAAAAAAATATATGATGTGGCGAGTAATTAATGAGGAAAGAGAGGCACGTGGTAACATAGCTATTTACTGTAACATCACACATATTAAGACAAGATGAGTCTACAACCAAATAAATGAAGTGTTGCATGACACCACACATATATTACTCCCCACTATAGAGGTAGTAACATAGACTAGTAACATATGCATGTTACTAGTCTAAGTTACTATGCATTGTGACTAGTCTAAGTGACGGACCCTTCGTAATTACCCGTCACTTAACTGGCAACCATGAGTGAGGGCCCTTCGCCCATCAGTGATGCCCTGAAGCATGACTGACGTAGCCCAGCCCTCATGTCTTATACTTCACTAGCAGAACGCCCGTGCGTTGCTACGGGCTATCCGTAATGTTACCTATAACACTCGGGTTCAACACAAAAAACCTCATCCAATGACGTACCTTCCCTTTTTTTGTCGGAACCTCCCATTCCTGATCGGCTTACTGCCGTAGCGGGACATTTCTCGCCGGTGCCACCTCTTTTAAAACTAGATGACGACGACCTCATCTTCGCCGTGCATTGCAATAAAGATGAAATTTTTTCATGTTCACAATAAAATAGAGTGGGTTAAACTAACAACATGATATTGACACAAAGCAACAAATAACTACAGATAGCATTCTCAATCAACTTTGCAAATGCACATTGACATTGGAGGAGAGTGGCAATATGAGTATTCCTTGTCGCCAATAAGCTCCACCTGCATCCCACATATGGTAGAAGGGATAATTGTGGTTCTTCTCTTCTTCGTCTTTCCCTACACTTTCTACTCCTCGCGTCTTCGCTAACCCGTTTCATTGGCGCCAACCAGCACCACGTCAACATTAGTGTGTTCGTCATCGATGCCTCATCTTTTTATCTCTCATTTCTCGTCAGCTTTAGATCTCGTTCCTACTTATTTTCAAGAATACTCTTTCTTTTTTCTCTCTCTTATTATTTGGAACACTCTTTTCTTTCTCCAACACCATGGACCGTTTGGTGGCTTTAGTTCTTTTTCCTTCTTGTTCTTGGAACACGCTTTCTTCTTATTATCGCATGAACCACCTGGCCAATGTTGTGCCGTGTTGTCCTCACCCGTGAATATTTCGGCAAACGTCAGCGTGTGGACATCCTGCAGAGCATAGTCTTCATCCATCTAGGTGAACGCTAGGTCGCCCATGTCGCAAGCGCATGGTGGCCGTTGTCCATGTCGGCAAGCGGTGCTCGGTGATTGGCCATGCAGCTGAGAGGGCGTTGATCGTCCTTGCCCATGAGCGCTTTCAAAATGATTCGCCGTGATTAATTGCTTGCTTAATTTATTAAGTACATGAATAATTAGTGACCTACCTAATTCTCTGCATGCCTAATTAACTGTCAATTAATTATCTGACTAATTGGAAAATATCCCTACTTCTAATTATCTGTAGGCATAAATAATTGTCTAAAAAATTAATTAATTGCATTAATCACTCAACCTCCAAATTGATTCTGTGCAAAAAAATCCTATTTAAATGGACCTAACTAATTGCATATGTAATTAACTGTCTAGCTAATTAATTGCATCAATGGTTTGATTTTGAAATTGATTTAGTGCTCGATTTTTACAAACACCAATGATGACAACTACCAAGTAATGTTGGACATATTTCCTTAATGAATTTCTTGACATTTAAATGGACACACTTGATTTGAGAATGTAGCTTGTCTGGCTCTACAAGAAATATAATATGACCGAGTCCACGTGGCGGTCTGATGACCTGCCTCCCCCATGGCCGTCCTTGACCCCGTGATCCGCGCCCTGGCATTCTCAAGCACCGTGCCAGCGTTAGCCCCGGCCACGACATCTTCCATGGTGTCATGCACGACGTCCCATCGCAGGGGCGTGCGGTTGCGTGCGCCCATATGAAACTTGTAGTTCTCAATTGATAGTGGAGATAATGATAATAACAAATGACATAGCGCTGGATTAATGATTTCTTATGAAGAAATATCTCATTTTATTATGGAAGATTGTTGAGAATAATCTTATGTCTGTCTTTTAGGAAGGTGATCTCACATATATGGTGCAATTTTTGAATTCTTAATTACTTATTGTTTACGTAATTGAATTGAATCAACACCTATCAAAGGAAGCATGAAACAAGATCCCCCTCATGAGATTTGGTTTTTTAATGGGATGGAGAAAAACCAGTGGGAAGAGGTGGTGGGAGGTGGGACGAAGAAAAACCAGACGAAAATAAAACCATACCAGGCTACCAACTGCTCCATTAGGAGTAGACATTAATGATTTCTTATGAAGAAATATCTCATTTTATTATGGAAGATTATCGAGAATAATCTTATGTCTGTCTTTTAGGAAGGTGATCTCACATATATGGTGCAATTTCTGAATTCTGAATTATTTATTGTTTATGTAATTGAATTGAATCAACACCTACGAAAGGAAGCATGAAACAAGATCCCCCTAATGGGATTTGGTTTTTTAATGGGATGAAGAAAAGCCAGTGAGAGGAGGTGATGGGAGGTGGGACGAAAAAAAACCAGACGAAAATAAAACCGTATCAGGCTACCAACTGCTCCATTAGGAGTAGAAATAAGTGACGGGTCCTCCGTAATTACCCGCCACTTAAAGGGCAACCATGAGTGAGGGCCCTTCGCCCATCAGTGATGCCTTGAGGCATGATTGACATAGCCCATGTGACGGGTAGGAAATCCATCACTTATGTGTGTTTCTACCTGATGGTCTTTTTCGTTGCAGTGGACATTTTTAGTTTTTAAAAAATAATGCAAAAATGTCATACTATCTTGAAAAATCTATTATATATATTTAAATATTTGTGCTAGCCATCGGACAAGTTTTTGTAATAAAAACAACTACAACACCTAGATATTAGGTATTCTGGAAAATCAAATGCTCCTTTCTTTTTAGAAGGGATCTTGGTTTATCCTAAGTGAAACAGTTGTAAGTTTTACCAAATAGATAGAAGAAACCATTAACATTTAAGACACAAAGTACATATGGTATGAAACTATATTTCATTGGGAAGCTAATGGTACGATTTTGGTGTTCTAAATGATGATATATTATCCTACAAGTTCAGTCAAACATACAACAGTTTGACTTAAGAAAAACTAAAATCCCCTGTAAAAAGAAAAAGAAAGTAGTTCAAATGCATTAGTAGTATAGGATCGCATAGTGACATATACTCCATCTGTAAAAAATATAAGAGCATTTAGATCACTAAAATAGTGATCTAAATGCTCTTATATTTCTTCACGGAGGGAGTACTCTATTAAACTACACAGGAATGCGTAGTAAAGACTCCACCACAAACCAAAAGAACTCTCATAAGAGCAAGTACAACAATGCCTAGTCAGCTGGCTATAACAGTTGCCAAGGAATGAGGATCCTACGTGGAAGAGAGAGTAAAGAAGAGAGAGAGGAGCCGGCGCTTGGGCTATCGCCCGGCTGTAGCACAGCACACTAGAAAAAGAGCTTTGCATGCAGCCTTAACCCAATAGCATGCATGCTTTAAATAAGTAAATACTAATTGAAGTCACTGGACAGCCGGTCTAATAGCCTGTCTATTGTACTAGTGAGCTTTTATGATGGTTTTAAGGCTGGTCATAGTGGGGAGTAACTTAGACTGGTAACATACATATGTTACTAGTATATGTTACTACCTTCATAGTGGGTAGTGTCATAGGTGTGGTAACATAGTTGCCTTCATTTATTACTTTGTAGACTCATTATGCATTGGAAACCGCT